AACTATGGGTTAAGAAAGGGATCTCAAAAGCCAGGTGCTGATGGCTCACACCTATAATCCTAACTACTCGGGAGCCTAAGATCTGAGGATTGTGGTTCAAAGCCAGACTAGGCAGAAAAATCCATGAGACTTTTATCTCCAATTAACTACCAGAAAACTGGAAGTGGTACTGTGGCTCAAAGTAGTACACTGCAAGCCTTCCGCAAAAAACAGCGTTCAGGGACAGTGCCCAGAGCCCCAGTTCAAGCCCCACGACTGACCAAAAAAAGAAAAGAGCTGCTGAATTTTTCTGCCTTTCTGGCATCATTTTTAATCCTTCTATTCCTAGTCTCCCAAGTAGCTAGTATTAAAAGTATGAGCCACCAGTAACCAACAGGGTTTTTTTTGTTTGTTTTTTGTTGTTTTATATCAATCCGGGGGTTTGAACTCAGGGCTTGAGCACTGTCCTTGAGCTTCTTCTTTTGTTGGTCGTGGGTCTTGAACTCTGGGCCTGGGCGCTGTCCCTTAGCTCTCAGCTCAAGGCTAGCGCTCTACCACTTGAGTCACAGCACCACTTCCAGTTTTCTGGTGGTTAATTGGAGATAAGAGTCTCAAGGGCTTTCCTGCCCGGGCTGGCTTTGAACTGCAATCCTCAGATCTCTGCCTGGGTAACTAGGATTACAGACGTGAGCTACCGGGCCCAGCTCCAACAGTTGCTAGCACTCTACCACTTGAGCCACAGTGCCACTTCCGGCTTTTTCCTTTTTGCATATGTGGTGCTGAGGAATCGAACCCAGAGCCTCATGCATGCAAGGCAAGAGCTCCACCACTGAGCCACCTTCCCAGCCCAACCAACAGTTTTTAAAGATGGACTCACAGATAACTTTGCTTAGGCTGCCCTCTAACTCAAAATCTTTCTGCTTCTATCTGCTTCAGATAGCTGTGACTACAGGCATATGCCATCATGCCTAACATATAGGATTTAGTCTGTTGAGCTACTCTGACTTCTCAAAAGTAACACTAAGGGACTTCATCTAGATAACAGAGAAGAACACTGGATGATGCCCACACAGAACAGAGATACCCAGGGCTCCCTGGAATGGCTGTGCCCCACCCTTACCTGTAGCTCATCCAGACTGAATTCACAGTACTCCCGGCGAGTGCCTTTGCCATTGGTCAGAATCCCACAGCCACTCATCATGATGGTGCCTGGGTAAAGATAAGATACTTGGTTAAGCTACAGGCTGCCTTCTCAGCAACCCCAAGCCTGTATCCCTACCCTTGCCCTGGGCTTATACCTGATTGGAGGTTGGTCATGGTGGCTGGATATTCCAAGCTGTTGGGGTTATGAGTGGTGACACCAATTTCAATGGAGCCTGACCATTTATCCACAAGCTTGTCGATACGGATCTGGGGTTGAATGACAGCAGATGGAAAGGGCAAGGAATGTAGAGGAGGGATTCTCAGCCCATGGTTCTCCCCCAGTTCCTACCCTCTAGGCAGCAATGATTAAGCCCCACTTTTAACTGCCAGAGCAGGAAGCCCTGTCAGATTTCAGGATCTTGCACACCTCAAACATTTCATTGTCCCGAAGTGGGCGGTTGGTCATGACAACCCCATTGTTGAATTCATCCAGGGGCCTCCGGCGCTCAGCGGTCTTATTATTGTTACTGAGTTTGATGAGGGTGCCACACTTCTCATGAAAGAGTAGGGCATCGTTGGAGGTGAGGATGGGTGAGGTAGCAGCACCGCTAGATCCCAGTCCATCCCTTGCTGGAGGAGAGCTCAGGCTCACATTCAGGAGCCCCCCATTGTAGGCAGATAGGATGGCATTGCTCACCACTTCAGAGAGCTCCATGCTGGCAAAGTCTACAGCAGCAGGATGAAGAAAGAAATCTGAGGTAAATCCCTATACCCTCTGGCTTGGAGCACTCTTGCCCTAACCCTCTCTTAAGGTCCCTCCCTTATCCACCTCATGGCCCATTCCCCTTCCCTGGGCTTCCCCGAAGCCCTCACCATTATGCGACTCAAGGTTGTTAGGAAACGACTCCGGCCGGGCCTGCGCTGGGGACACCATGAAGGCTGGGGACCAGGTGGGATGGGAATAAGGGTTCAGAGCCCACAGCCAGGAGACCCTCTCTAGACCCTGCTCTCTCCAACAAAACTGTGGAGTCTCAATGGCCCTGCCCACACCCAGGCTAGCTTGTCACTGCATTTGCCCTCTGCCCCACTCATCCAACACCACCCTAGCTGCTTTCTTACCTTCATCTCCAGAGGTCCCCTGTTGAGCCAAGGCAGAATCCTCAGGGGGGGCTGAGGGCTCTAGGGGAGGTGTAGGGATAGGAGTAGGGGGGCTGAAGCCTGGCTCAGGGGGAAGCACGGTGATCTGGGTGCACTTGCCATAAAGGTCCACAACAGCCCAGACACGGGCAGGGAGGCCTGTGGCAGCCACACCACAATCCCGCCCATTCACCCAGAGCCGGAGCTCCCCTGCAACTGTGCGCTCCACACCCACACGGTCCCCTTCGCCAAGCTGATCCAGGTCCTGGCCATACTCTTCCAGCACGGAACGCCCATCCTTCAGCACCGAGCAGCCCGACACTACCCATGAGCCCCCCTTCAGTCCTGTGGCACTGCTTGGGAAGTCCAGCACACTGGGATCCAGAGCTGTCACCCCAATCTCAATGGAGCCACTCCAGGAGTTAACCTAAGACAAGAATTGTAGACTGATTCAGGATAGGCAATCAGTGAGTCGCCCACTACTAGGAAACCACATCCACCAGGCACCCTGGCACACCTCTTAGGCACTAACCCAAAACACAGGCCCACAGGTAATTTCCTCAACAAGGATTGAGGAAATAATAGTTTTTGAACTGCTCTCTCCTAGCAACTCTGACTCTTACTCAGGTACTCAAAGTTCACACTACTTTCCCCTTCCACCAATCAGATTAAATTCAACCCTCTCGCCTCCTCTTATTTTGCCTGTTTCTATGGCTCTTCAAATACCCAAATCCAAATGCCCATACCTCTTGCTTTTGTACATCCCTTTCTTTAATTCTCACCCAGATCCACTCTTCTCCTGAATTCTTTCTCTGGGGTCAAGTATCACACCTCCCTCTCTCCCCGATTATGTCTCCTCACCCATTTTCCTGGCCCTATCTGAGAGTCTGCCCTTCAGTGGTTTTGTTCTTCCCTCGGTTATGTCTCTGCTCCATCCCTCCAAAACTGCCAGAAGGTCTGATCCCCCGTCATTCGAGTGTGTGGGCCTCCGTGTCCCTTCCAGCTTCTGGGTCTTGAGAAAATTCAACCTTTCCTTGTCTCCTTTCCTTAAGACTGAATGTGTCTGCTTCGTGTGGTCTTCCTCCTCCTCGTCTCCCGGTGCCCTATGATCTGTTGGTTCCCTCTCGATGCCCGACGCTGTGGGTGTTCTGGCGGTCCTCCCTCATCTCCCTCTGGTCCCCTCCCACCACCCTTCACATCTCGGTTTCGCGGTCGCAGCTCTGCACCTTGCGGTCGATGCGGACGGTGAAGACGCGTCCGTCGCGCAAAGGTTCGCGGCTCAACACCAGCCCGTGGTTAAACTCTTGGCCCGGCTGCTGTCGCCGCGCCGTCCGCCCACAGGCCGACAAGCTCACCAGGCGCCCGGTACGCGGGTGCAGCTCGCCGCCGCTGCCGAGACTCCCGCTGGACCCCGGCCCCGGCCCGCCGCCGCCCCCACCCCCTCCCGGCCCAGGCCCGGGGCCTCCCCCAGACCCCCCACTCCCACCCGACCCCGCCGCCATCGCCGCCGACACGGGGGCCGCGCGACAGCCGCGCTTGGCGGCACCGTGGCAACCGTGGCGGCCACCCTGAGGGAATACGACGGGGGGGGGGGGGGGGGGAGGCGGGTTGGGGCCAGATGTGCTTTACGGCACTGCCGGGCAATGTGCTGGGGAGCCGATACCGCGGTAGGAACAGAAGGACGACGGGGTCGCGGAGGCTTGCTTTACGGCACGGCCATGAGGAACTTTTGCGACACTGGGTGGAAGACACGCCTGCCGTTTGCGACGGGAGGCTGCGAGCCCCCGGACGCGCTTTGCGACGGCGGCGAGGACCCCGCCTTCACGTTGAAGTGTTCGCTTGACGGCAGGGAGGGGGTGTCTTCGCTTGCTTTCAAGCAGTAAAATCGGGGTCGGGGACCCGGTGAAGTCCCCATCCTCCACGCCGGAAGTGTCGCAGTCCCTTCACATTACATCACTCCTCTCCTGAGAAGCGGAGCACGTTAGATGGCGGCGGGAGGAGCTCGCGGCTATGTCAAGTCCAACTTCGAACCTTTTTATTTTGTCGGCCGTGGGGCTTGAACTCGGGTCCTGGGCGCTGCCCCTGAGCTGTTTTTTTTCCCCCCTCAGGGCGAGCGCTCTGCCACTTTGAGCCACAGTGGTTCATTGGCGATGAGAGGCTCACAGCCTTTCCTGCCCGGGCTGGCTTTGAACCGCGATCCTCAGATCTCAGCCTCCTGAGTAGCTAGGATTACAGGCGTGAGCCACTAGAGCCTGGCGTCAAGCTCTTAGGTTTTGAAGCTACAGGTAATCCAAAGGAATCCGACAGGCAGTTTCCACCAACAGCACTCACGATCCCAGGAGATCCCCCGAGGAACTACTAAATACGAAGCCCCTTAGCCCAACTCCCGGGCTAAGTGAGGCTGGAGGGGCGTGGACGTCACAATTCGGACTTCTCGCCGCTTCGCCAGGCCCCCTGCCTATGATTGGCTGGCTCGGATGAGGGCGGTGATGGAAGGAGCAGGGCGGGAACCAGTCGCGGAGACAAAGAAAATCGCTGGGTGGGACCACCGGGCCGGGCGAGCCCTGGGGAGGGGCGCTCGGCCTGAGATCTGGAGAATCCGGCGTCCGCCTACCGCCGCTCGGGGAACGGAGGCGGGGCGGACCCAGACTCCAGCTCCGGCGGGGAGGGCGGCTGTGGCGGGGCTATGCTGAGCGGAGAGGCGGGGCGGACTAACGGAAAGCTTGTCACCGGGTGGGGCCATGGACAGGCCGGGGTCTCTGGTGGGAGCTGCTGGTAGCGTTAAAGGAGAGATCCCCGGAAGGGCCACCAGGGAAGGGTCCGGAGGGGGCCGAGGCTCGGAGGCCGACTCCAGACTGCCCCCTAGGGTAGCTGTGTTTCAAGGCTTTGGGCCTCCGTTGCACTCCGGGGGCAACGTCATTCCCAGTACTAATTCCAGCCGGCCCTCCGACGGAGTAGTGACCCGCGGTTCCTGGCCGAGTCAACACCCTGGGGAGGTGGTTGGCCATAGCTTTGGGCCCAGCATCGCCCCTAGTAGAGTCAACGCCCCCGGTAGAACTGGGGCGTCCAGCCCCGAGCCCGGGGGGCTTAGCCCGGGGTGCAGTGGACACTCGGGATCTACCAGCTTGCATAGTTGTGAGGACCGGCCTCGGGGCATCCTAAAAAACAGCAGCTCCACAGTAGTGCAGAAATCACCCTCTGTGGAGAAGTAAGAAACACCGCCTCCCGCCCCCACCTCTCCCCTCTGCTCCTCCGCTCTGCTCCTCTGCTGGAGAGGAGTTACCAGCACCCGAGCACCCGCAGGGCCCGAGCCCTGAGGGAAGGGGCGGGGCTCCTGAGAACTTGACGTGAGAGTCCCTGGGGGCAATTGGGTGGGAAATCAGATTTCAGGACTTTGGGAGTGCAGCAGACGTCCAACGAATCCTAGCCACACAGTACCAAGGTTATCATTGTGTCTGACCCCATCTCTAAAAGGGAGTGTAAAAGTGTTTAATGACTGCAAAGCCTTGAGGAAGGGGTCATAGAATAATCTCCTCCCCCCCCCCTTACTTTTGTGTGTCCTCTCCTCACCTTAGGAAGTCTCAGCACTGGGATGAGATGAACATCCTGGCTACCTACCACCCTTCTGACAAAGACTATGGTTTTATGAAGGTGGATGAGCCAGGAACCCCCTACCACAGGTGCCAAGCCCTCAGTCAGCTTTTCAACCTAGATTCTTCTTTGTTCTAACAAACCTCCTGGGGAGGAGGTAGAGAAGCCTTGGGGACTGGATGTTGCCCCACTCCTGGCACTGCTTCCTCTTTGCAGGATGCATGACAGTGATGAGGACCTATCGGCAGGGCCCTCCTTCAAGTTGACTCCGGAAGCACTATCAGAGAAGTGAGTGTTCTGTTGGAGTTGAGGTGGGAGTTGGAAAGTGTTGATAGAGCTCTTTTTCTTTTTGCCTCCTAAAATGGGGGGGAGGGGAGTAATATTTGTTTGTACTGGGACTTGCACTTGAACTCAAGGCCGGGCACTGTCCCTTAGTTTTCTCGCTCAAGGCTGGTGATGCCTTACCACCTGAGTCACACCTCCTCTTCTAACTTTGTTGTTGGTAGTGGTGGTTTGTGGGGCTTGAACTCAAGGCCTGGGCACTGTCCTTGAGCCTCTTGGTGCTCAAGACTAGTGTTCTACCACTTGAGCCACAGTGTCACTTCCAGTTTTTGAATGATTAATTGGAGATAAGAGTCTCATGGGGACTTTTCTGCCCGGGGTAGCTTCAAACCATGAGCCACAGATCTCTGCCTCCTGAGTAGCTAGGATTACAGGTGTGAGACACTGGTTGGTGCCTGGCTTTCTTCCAACTTTTTGCTGGTCAACTGAAGATATGAGTTGCAAGGAATTGACTACTTGGGCTGGTTTTGAGCTACAATCATCACATCTCAGCCTCCTGAGTAGCTAGGATTACAGGAGTGAACCACCACCCTAATAAAATTGGATGTAAAATACCTATTACATCTGACTAGGACCCATGGAGGGTGGGATCGGCTAGTTTGGTTCAACCCACCACCTGTTCCCATTGTGTTTTTCTCCCTTCTGCCTCCCCAACTAGTCTCCCTCCCCTTCAGGTTTGCAACAATGGACAATTTCCTCCCCAAGGTCCTCCAGTATGGTGATAACAGAAGCTCAAGAACCACAGATAATTTTTCCAAGACACGTGAGATACAGATGGGGAGAAGGCACTAAATAGAAAAGGGAGCCTTCAGCTGGTGGCTCACTGGTAGTTGTAATCCTAGCTACTCAAGATACTGAGATCTGAGGATCATGGTTCAAAACCAGCCTAGGCAGTAAAGTCCATGAGACTCTTACCACTAGTTAACCACCAAAAAGCCATAAGTGGAGGTGTAGCTCAAGCAAAAAACTTGAGTGCATAGCCCTTGAGTTTAAGCCCTTAGAATTGGCACACACACACACACACACACACACACATACACCACACACACAAAGGAAAGAAGAGCCAAGTGCCGGTGGCTCATGCCTGTAATCCTAGCTACTCAGGAGGCTGAGATCTGAGGATAGCGGTTCAAAGCCAGCCCAGGCAGGAAAGTCCGTGAGACTCTTATCTCCAATAAACCACTTGAAAACCGAAAGTGGCGCTGTGGTTCAAGCGGTAGAGCACTCACCTTGAGCTGAAGAGCTAGGGACAGTGCTCAGGCCCAGAGTTCAAGCCCCAGGACCAACCAAAAAACAAAAACAAGAAAGGAAGGAAGGGATGGAGGAAGGCGGGAGGGAGAAAGAAAGAAAGAGAAGGAAGGCAAGAGGGAGAAAGGAGAAAGGCAAGCTTTAGTGAGAGGCTGGCAAGAAAGCCAAGCTCTCACATTGGCCCACAGACTCCAATGACTTTGACAAACATCGCAAGATACACTACAATGAAGGAAAGTTTCTCAAGGCTCAGAAAAACCTGCCTTTGGACAGTGACATGGACAACAGTGAAAGTAGTTCTGGCATTGGTAGTGGTATTCAAGGTGTGATGATAAATCCAAAGCCCAAGCCTGTGGAGAAAGACTGGACAAAAAGACTAACCAGAGAAGTCAAAGATAAGACTGTCCCAGGGACTTCAAGTCACATCGGACATGCCAACGGTTAGCAATGGGAAGCTTCAGGATCTCAAAGGATTTGTAGTCTAGTGTCAGTTTCAGAGCCCTGTTCCTCTTAAGACTTTATGTCCCTCACTCGACCACCATAGTCTGTCTTGTGTAGTGGGCCTACAGTCCTTCTGCCTGGCAGGGGTGGAAGGTGATCCCAGGAAAGAAAGAGGACAGCTGGAGTGGAGTCCCCACTCGGGGTGACTGCTAGTCATCAGAAATGACTAGCAGGTGAAAAACTGCCCCAAAGGGCCAGGAGTTGGTGGCTCATGCCTGTAAACCTAGCTACTTGGGAGGCTGAGATCTGAGGATCACAGATCAAAGCTATCCCAGACTCATATCTCGAAAGAACCAACAAAAAGTTGGCAGTGGGGGTATGTGACTCAAGTGGTAGAACACCAGCTTTGGGGGAGGGGGAATAAGGGAAGCCAAGTGAAAGAGTGAGGCCCCAGTTTCAACACCTGTACCAGCACACACACACACTTCAAGAGACCACTGAGAATGGAAAGGTCACTGAAGGTTTTCTTTTTTTTCCTTTTTCTTTTTTGTCGGTTGTGGGGCTTGAACTCTGGGACTGGGTGCTGTCCCTGTGCTCTTCAGCTCAAGGCAAGCGCTCTACCACTTGAGCTACAGCGCCACTTCCGGTTTCCTGAGTGGTTTATTGGAGATAAGAGTCTCAAGGAATTTCTTGCCCTGGCTGGCTTTGAACTTTGATCCTCAGATCTCAGCCGCCTGAGTAGCTAGGATTACAGGTGTGAGCCACCAGCGCCCAGCTTGAAGGTTTTCTAAATTGGAGGATGAAGCAAGAGAAATAACTGTGAGAACAGGGGATGGATGAATGGACACAGTTGGTAGCCACAGACTCTGATTGTTTTGGTGATTTCCCCAGATTCTTCTGCCTATGGAAGTCAGTTCCCCAAAGCTTCAACCCCCATCCTTATAGAGCAGAGTATCAGCCAGCAACGTAAGGAATATTACAGCAAAGGAAGATACCTGAGGTCCTGCTCCCACCCAGAGATTAAAGAGGACACAGAAGATGAGCAGGACAGTGAGAGCCAGGGCAGACATTCTGGGGTGGGCGGTTGGGGGGGGTGGCAGGCGAGGGGCTGGGGGTGGCGGCTGAGAACCCACAGCCAGCTCGCATGCCCCAATCCTCATTCCAGACTCTACAGGTTTGCCCATAAGCACTGAGGTACGTCTGTTGGACCATACAGGAAGTACCTGCAGAGAACACAAGGTCACTGAAGACTCCATGGATATGGGAATGACAACATTGCAGCCAGGTGAGGGCACCAGGTCACTATCTCCCTGGGCCTAAGTTCTTGGCAAGCTCCTACCTCCTAGCCTCCCAATCCTGTTAAGCTGGTATATCAGCAACAGGTAGTGATTAAGAGAAACCCTAACATATCCCAGCGTCTGAGGTTGACATTGAAGTCAGAAGGGGTTCTGAGCTTCCCTTAATTTCTGCTTAGACTCCCGTCAAGCCTGGCACTACCACTAGTGCTATGGCTTCTTGACTCTTCTCTGCCATCCCACCCCACTCTAGGTACTTCCATGTCCTACAAAAACCATAGGTCTCAGGTGTCGTCCAACTGGTGTCAGTGGCTGAGGGCCAAAGGACTAAACTGCCGAAGCCCAGGGAGCTCAGAAAGTAAATGTGAAAATAGCCAGAATCCTCCAAGTCGGAATGGGCGCACACGTGAGCTCGGGCAGAAATAAGGGGTGCTTTCACTGGTCAGGGAGGCAAAGGGGCTAAGTGAGTAGGAGCTAAGAAGTGTAGGGGTCACATGGGTACGATCTCCTGCTTGCTGCAAGAATGCCCTTAATCCAACCTCTTCTCTCCAGATGAAACCCTGCGGCCCCAATGGACTCTGGAAAAGGAAACCAGACCATGGAAGATGTAGCTTGATTGGGGTGGGGGTAAGGGTAAGGGCAATCTTCCCCTGCTCTCGCTGCCCTAAGGATAGACAATAAAGAGAAGAAGATCAGGAATGTAGGTGCTGCGAATTGAGTACCCAGGCTGGACCTGCTGCTCCGTTAAAGAATAGAGTTTTTTCAAAGGTGTTCACACAGAGAAAATCAGAAAAGCAGATCAGAGAGAAGAAAGCTGGGAATAGTCCAGAGACTGTACTCAATGAGAAATAGGATCAAGCCAAGCATGGTGATGCAAACTTGTAATCCCAGAACAGGAGACTGAAGAGGATCTCAAGTCGAGGGTTGCCTGGGCTACGTAGTGAAACCCTTGTCTCAAAAACCCAAACCCAAAAGAAACTAGGATTTCAAAAGTGTCCAAACTACAACAGGATGACAATGACAAATACAGTTAATTTACTTTGCCATAAATTTACCAGTAAAATCTTTGAATTTTTGTAATAACCCTGGAGGGAGGGATTTTAGTTTCCATCTTCCAGATGAGGAAACTGAGGAACCAGAAAGTGACCAAGCTGGGATTTGAACTTAGATGGTTAGGTTCCCCAAATGCAAATCACTGAAGGAGAAGTAGAGAGTAGAGAGAGGTAGAGAAGGAAAAAGTAAGAGAGAGAGAGAGAAGGGGGGGGCAGAGGCAGGGCAGGCCAAGAGGAAGGTGACTACAGATAGTCTCTGGGGGCGGGGCTGTGGCTTGTCTGATCTCAGGCCCCCTGCTCTTCCCAGGCCCCACCCTTGCCCCCTCCTACTTCCAGCACTGTTGAAAGTGTGGGGTGAGAGAACCTCCTGGGATACCCCTTGTCCTTGGGGGACAGAATTGTACCCCCAGGTCTGACCCAGCAAAGGATCTTCTCCTCCTTCCTCATCAACGCTCCTCCTGGGGCAGGGAGTGCCTCTATCTGCATCCTCCCCTGCCCGAATCTCTAGGGCCCTTAGCTCGCAGCAGTCAAACTAAGATGACGGTCAAGCTGGATTTTGAAGAGTGTCTCAAGGACTCACCCCGCTTCCGGTAAGTGTATGCTAAGTGTATGCGGGTCTGGGAATCTGAGGAAGGGAATGTCCAACACACACACACACACACACACACACACACACACACACACACACACACACACACACACACACACAGCCTTCTACAGGCCAACTGCCTTTCTGGGCTAAAGCCTCACAGAGACAAGAGGGAGGTGGCAGCCCAAAGTGGTACCTTTGCTATTAAACCAGGGTTCGTCAGTGCTTTCCACTCTCTGCCTGCACCTCTGGCCTTTCTATGCTGCGATGGGGTGGAGGGCGGTGGGCTCCATGCTGGTATTCTATCCTCCTCCTCCTCAGGGGGATCTTGCCCCTCCCCCAGCACCTGCTATGGGGTGGTTAGCAACTTCCTGTCCTAGCCACATCCACCCTCCTTCTCACTCTTCCGGCTATGGCCTGGGTTCTAGTAGCTTTATACTGTGCAGAGTGGGTAAGAGCAGGCAGGTGGAGAGCACTTCTCAACTCAGAAGCTTTGTCTGTGCCCACCACCCAAAGACCCCAATATACACCCTGATAAGGCAGACAACCCAGGGCACCCAGTCTCTCCCATAATCCCATTTCTTCTTTTCCAGAGCCTCTATAGAGCTGGTGGAAGCTGAAGTGTCAGAACTGGAGACTCGTCTAGAAAAGGTGATCCTGATGTAGAGAATTTACCCAGAATCAGATTAGGATAAGAGGGGAAGGCCAAGGAGAAAGATGGAGATTGAGAAAGAGTTCTAGGGCCACTGAATGCTAACTCTGTGAAGTAGGTATGTAGAAGACTACAGAAAAACAAAAGCAGTACTTCTATGTCTTTGAGGTGTTTAGAGTCTTAAGATCAAGACTCTTGGGCTGGGAAGGTGGCTCAGTAGTAGAGTGCTTGCCTTGCATGCATGAGGCCTTGGGTTCAATTCCTCAGCACTACATAAGCAGAAAAAGCCAGAAGTGGTGCTGTGGCTCGGGTTGTAGAGCGCTAGCCTTGAGCTGAAGAGCTGAGGGACAGCGCCTAGACCCAGAGTTCAGGCCCCACGACCGGACCCTCCCCCCCCAAAAAAAAAAGAATTTACCTTTATATACTCTACTAGGTATTTCTCTCTCTCTCTTTCTGGCTTGCTTTCTTTCTAAAATTTTTGTGTGTGTGCTAGTCCTGGGCCTTGAACTCGGGGCCTAGGCATTGTTCCTCAACTTTTTTGCTCAAGGCTAGTGCTTTACCACTTGAGTCACTGCTCTACTTCCAGCTTTTGGGTGAGTAATTGTAGATAGGAATCTTGCAGACTTTCTTGCCCAGGCTGGCTTCCGGATCCTCAGATCTCAGCCTCCTGAGTAGCTAGTATTACAGATTGGCATCCAGCTTCTTTTTTTCTTTTTTTCCAGTCTGGGGCTTGAACTCAGGGCCTCCAGTTTTCATTCAGCTTTTTTACTCACAGCTGGCTCCACCACTTGAGGCATACCTCTAGTTCAGCATTTTGCTGGCCTTGTTAGATATAGAGAATTGAAGACATTTTTGCTCTGACTTTTTTTTTTTTTAATTTGTTTTTGGTTTTGAAGCTTGGATCTCCAAGTCTTAGCTTCTGAAGTAGCTTGGATTACCAGTACCAGCTTCTATTAGTTTCCTTCCTTCCTTCCTTCTCTTTTTTTGTCAGTTGTGGGGCCTGGGCACTGTCCCTGAGCCTCAAATATAGTGCTCTATCACTTTGAGCCACAGTGCCACTTCTGGTTTTCTGGTGGTTAATTGGAGATAAAAATCTGACAAGCCGGGCGCCAGTGGCTCACGCCTGTAATCCTAGCTACTCAGGAGGCTGAGATTTGAGGATTGTGGTTCAAAGCTAGCCTGAGCAGGAAAGTCTGTGAGACTCTTATCTCCAATAAACCACCAGAAAACTGGAAGTGGCGCTGTGACTCAAGTGGTAGAGCGCTAGCCTTAAGCTGAAGAGCTGAGGGACAGCACCCAGGCCCAGAGTAGTTCAAGCCCCATGACTGACAAAAAAAAAACAACAAAAAAGTCTCACAGACTTTCCTGCCCAGGCTGGCTTTGAACCATAATCCTCAAATCTCAGCCTCCTGAGTAGCTAGGATTACAGGCGTGAGCCACTGGCACCTGATAGATTTTTTTTTAGGCTATCAGAAACCTAGTGGCATAAAATATTACACATTTTCTAGTTCCTATGGACCAAGAGACCAGGCATATCTTAGCTGTTGTTATGCTCAGCGTCTCCAAGACTTCAGTCAAGGTTGTGGCTGAAGTTCTAGTCTCACCTAAAGCTCAAGATTTTGTTCTGAGCTCATGTGATTGTTGGTAGAATTCAGTTCTTTTATATTGTAAAACTGAGGCCCTCATTTCTTTTTCTTTTCTTTTTTCCCCTCCATTCTTTACTTTTCTTTTCTTTCTTTCTTTCTTTTTTTTTTTTTTTTTTGCCAATCCTAGGACTTGAACTCAGGGCCTGGGCACTGTCCCTGAGCTGCTTTTGTTCAAGGCTAGCACTCTACCCCTTCAGCCACAGCGCCACTTCCAGCTTATTCTGTTTATGTGGTACTGAGGAATTGAACCCAGGGCTTCAACAAGTCTGCCACTAAGCCACATTCCCAGCCCCCAAGGCCCTCATTTCTTTGAGGCCACATATAGTTTGGTCCCCTCCATAGTCATGTCACATTATAGCTTGCTATTGCTATGCTGCAACTTCTAGGAGGAAAGTTTTTCTTGTGTGTGCTGGCAAGGTGTTGACAGGTATTGGAAGGCAATCATAGGAGTGTCACCCATCATCACCTTTGCAACACAGTGTGCCCTCATCATGGGACTGATTGTCATCCTGTTGCCTTTGCTTTTAGTTTGAAGCAAATTACAATTCTTGCTACACCCAAGGATAGGATTATGCAGATGTCTATCATTGGGGTGTGTCTACCACACTTGCTTATTTGTTTCTTATATATTTTCCCTTGCTAGAATGTGACTGGAGGCTCTTGTGTTTTGTTTTTGCATAATGCTTACAGCTAGTAGGTAACTGATTCATTTCTTTCTCGCTCTCTCTCTCTCTCTCTGTTTCTATTTTTTGAGATGAAGTGGGGGTGGGGAGGTCATTTCATGTCTCCTTTTTTTGCCCAGGCTGGCCTTGAACTCCTGAGCTCAAACTTTTTCCTGCTTCAGTTTCTGAGTAGCTGAGACTACAGACATACTCCACTGTACTAAAAAAAAAAAAATTTTTTTTTTTTTGTCAGTTGTGGGGCTGGAAATCTTGGCCTGGTTGCTGTCCCTGAGCTCTTCAGCTCAAAGCTAATGCTCTACGATGAGCCACAGCACCACTTCCCGTTTTCTGGTGGTTACTTGGAGATAAGTTTCACAAACTTTCCTGCCCAGGCTTTGAACCGCAATCCTCAGATCTCAGCCTTCTGAGTAGTTAGGATTATAGGCATGATCCACTGGGGGCTGGATTTCAAATATATTTTTTAAAATTTTTATTTATTTATTTATTTATTTTTGGTCAGTCGTGGGGCCTGAACTCTGTGCCTGGACGCTGTCCCTCAGCTCTTTAGCTCAAGGCTAGCACTCTACAACCCGAGCCACAGCACCACTTCTGGCTTTCCTGCTTATGGGTGATGAGGAATCGAACTCAGGGCCTCATGCATGCAAGGCAAGAACTTTACCACTGAGCCACCTTCCTAGCCCTCAATTTTTATTTATTTATTTATTTATTTATTTTTGTTGGTCGTGGGGCCTGAACTCTGGGTCTGGGTGCTATCCCTCAGCTCTTGGGCTAGCGCTCTACCATTTGAGCCACAGCACCACAGCACCACAGCACCACTTCTGGCTTTTACTGCTTATGTGGTGCTGAGGAATCTAACCCAGGGCCTCATGCATGCAAGGCAAGCACTCTACCACTGAGCCACTTTCCCAGCCCCCCTCAAATTAAACCTTTAATTAAACCTTTTATTTTCACCAGGCACAGGTGGATCACAATCATAACCATAACTACTCAAGAGGCTAAGGTCTGAGAATCTCAATTTGGACCCAGCCTAGCCAGACAAATCTGTGAGACTCTTTATTTCTAGTTAATCAGTATAAAGCCAGAAGTGGAGGCATGGCTCAAGTGGTAGAGTGCCAGCCATGAGCAGAAAAGGCCAAGTGATAGCTTGAAGCCCCAAGTTCAACACACATAAAACAAACAGCTGGGCACGGATGGCTCATACCTGTCGTCCTAGCTCAAGAGGCTGAGATCTGAGGATCTCAAGTCAAAGCCAATCCAGGTATGAAGTCCATGAGACTTTTATCTTCA